CGTCACTCGAACACTCTAGAAGCTTTGAAACGCCCCATAGATATTCAGTCAAAGTAAGCCACGTCACGTTCGAAGGGGAATTTAAAATTCTCAATAGACATTTGCTGGACGAACGCTAGACCACTTTGAAATTTTAAAGCGGACTAAAGTGAACCTGGAATCTAGTATTAGCACTTTTATCAGAGGAGATCTCAAATTGAAAGCAAATAAAGAAAATCTTTTTAATAAATGAATGTGTACAAAATTGATTTAATAATAACAATATAGATACAAACCTTTGTCATGAAAAATATTATTTTTATTACGATTACCGTAATCACAAGACAGTCACGGTATCAGCAGTAGCGTAGACAACTCTCATGGTGTTCGTGAATCCGGTTCCTTGTCTCCAACCAGAGATGATGACCATCGGATCTCCAATTCTAACGAATCCTCTCTCAATGGACCATTTGATAGCGAAATTCACACGTTTTTCAAGATCTGAAGCCCAGTCAGTCTCCGGTTCATCTAAAATTGAGTATATTTTTATTTTTAAAACATGACTTTACTGCATCCTAGAATTCTCTCATGTATGTAGTGGGTCCTTTTAGAAATAAAAATCTCACAGACTCATCATATACAGATTCGGTACAATCATACAAATGATTCGCGTCACGTTGTGTTAGATGCCCAGTCACTGCTCTAACAATGCAGAATAATAATATGAAATTTTTGTTTCTCTAGGTTTATGAAGTTCTTAATGGATTTCATTCCAGAATTTAGTGATAAATCAGAGTTTGTGTTTGCGTGGCAATAGCCGCGAGTAACTAATAAATAAAAAGAAAAAACTGTTATTTTTTCCGTGTAAACACGAACAATTAAGACGATTAAAATAATTTACTATGATAAAAAAAACTTTTTTTTATATCAAGATTATTTAAGATATGTAATTGTAACATACCTACAATATGATCACAATTTTGTAAAATTACCTTCATAAATTAGCGGTACGATTCCCCTCCACATGTGCAGTTGTCTAGCCACCAACGCGTACCTAGTTACCGCTATCACTGGGCATCTAGGCTTGAACTTGGCAACAGTCTGAGCAGATTTACCAGAGGTAGTTACTACTACAATGGCTGCGGCTATTGACCTTTGTGCTGCCAACACTCCCGCCATAGCCGCACCTGTTGCCTGGTCACAGGGCAACGGCGTCTGTGAAGTAAATGATAAATAATATAAATTATTCCAAACTTTGGATCGGTCTCTGTATAAAAGAAAGTAAAAGATGTGGCTGATATTTGGCTAAGGTTTAGGTTTATTAGTGGGACTACTTTTTAGATTAAGATAATGACAAAGTGAACATACAATAAATTCACCTTTGTTAATTTCTTCGGAAAGTAATCTCAATGACAGTAACCTTAATAGCTTAATAATAAAATAAAACTAAAATGAAATGAAATTACTTTGTCAATAAAATCATAGAAAACTTGTTTAGTCCAAATACAAGCTTCAGCTTCTTTGCAAGCGCTGCACATGACGGCGACGGTTTCTACAGGTTGTGTTCCAACTGAAGTTTCTGCACAAAGTACTAGGCTATCAACACCATCTAGGATACAGTTTGCAATGTCGAGGAGTTCAGCACGATTTGGAATCTTTTTATCTCTCATACTGCTCAAAATGTGAGCACTCACGGCGATTGGAACGTTAACCTGTAAAATTGAAAATGTTTCAAAATAAACACCGAACGGCCAGGTAGAGATGGTCTGTAAGTAAAAACTGGTGGTTACCGACGTAAAACTAATACCTATATAAGTTGTTTACATCTTAACCCAAAGTCCATAGAGACATAATGTATTTTCTATTGTGTCTTATAGGTATATGAACCGACAGTCAAGTGGTTAAACTTACTCTATTAGCCCTGGCTATCATATTCTTCTGTGCTATCACTAGTTTTTTAGGAGTAATGTCTGATCCCAATTCTTGTCTTGAAATCATTATTCCATTTGTTTCCTAGAAGAGTAAGTAATATGGGAGTATTTAAATTTTTAGTTGATATTTTGTGCATAAGTTTTAAATGCCAGTATTTTAGATTTATTGTCGATATTAGTTTTAGAATATCATACCTGCAAAATAGCATCGAAATTACGAAATCCTTCAATTGTCTGAATATTTGCTATAATAGCAATTTTTTTTCCTCTTTCTCCTAATAAGGCTTTCAGTTCCATAATACAGCTTGCTGAGCTTACAAAAGATGCAATTACAATATCGATCTGAAGACAGAAAACAGAAAAAAAGAAAACAACTTTCTTATCCACATCTTCCAGTCAGTCTAAAAAGACATGTAGTCTAGAGCTAACGAGGTCAATATTAGCATAGGTTTGTGAATTATTATTTCTAAGTTTTACATAAAATCCCAATCTGCTTTTCAAAAACAATGAGAATCATTTTTTATGAATGTTTACAAATTAGTAAAAATAAATATAATATCAACCTGATTCTGAATCCCCATTTCGATATCAAGTTTATCCTTCTCTGTATAATTTGGCATATTCAGAACGACATTAGGAACAAACACGTCTTTAAAGGACCCTAAAAAGCCTCCTCTCTCAATTCTACAAGTTAGTGTTGTGGTTGATATCATTTCAACTTTCAACATAATCGTTTCATTGTCCAATAAAACAAAATCGCCTTTGTTCATTTGTTCGGCAAAATACATGAAGTCTACGTAAACTGTGTAAGTGGAACATCGGTCTTTGTACGTTTCGTCTGTTGTCAACCTTACCACTTCACCGGGTTTGAGTTCAACAGTTTCACCGAAAGTCTGAAATAAGACAATGGTTGTTAAGCATAAAAATGACCCGAGAATCTTACGGAATGTTGCATGAACTTTTTCATTTCATTTGTATCTGTAACATAGCAAGCTATTCAAGGGGTTAAGTAGTATGAACACATTTTCCGAATATTATTCGACGTGATCATCAACCTTAGTTCTCCTTGCAAAAATCCCTATTGTTGAAATAATACAAACCTCAGCTATGCGTCCAGTTCTTATCTTTCTGCCCGACAGTCTCATAGCTATTGCCAATGGGTAATTCTTGCCCATCTTTATACTGTAATTTTTGGCTGCCATTCGAAGCATTTTTATACACTCCGTGTGTTCTTCGCGTGGTCCAAAGTTCATGTTCAGCATCGCCATGTTCATACCAGCTGCGATCATTTTTTCCAATACTTCAACGTCATATGTAGATTTACCTAGAGATAGTATCACATGTTTGATTAGTTCACATTTCGTTAATGTTTTACTGGCTATGACTTTTGTACAATCTTATTCTTTCAATTAAATAAATGTTTAGTTGTTGGAACTCTAATTTATGCTTACGTAGTTATTATTTAGATGTAAGTGTAATATGCAAGCAAGAACATTAAATAAAAATATGTACCCATAGAGGCTATGATTCCAGTGAGACGAGTGCATGCTGGTGGTGCTTTGATATCTAAGTTCAATACGTGATCTAGAGGCGTGAAGGCATTTGCTGCAGCTAGCTGCTGTCCTGGTAACTCCATGGCGTCATACTGTGAAGTTGACAGCCATAGAAAAAAATATAATAATCCTGGTCAATATATGTCCGTCTAGGGCGCCTTATACCGACGGCCCCATTCATATTCGCTCTGTATATTTCTTTCTTTACTCTACTTTTATCCATCTTTTCTAAACCGACGAGCATGCATGAAAAGATTGATGACTGCTGATGAAGCGAAAGAAGTATGTAGGAATGGTAGTAATTGGCGTTCACAGGCCCCCATTTGAGACAGGCGTGAAGTTATGTATGTATAATAATCCTTTTGAATACTTAGTAGAAATATCAATTGTTTTCCATAGCATTGAGTGCTGAAGTGTGATGAGATAAAACTAATTATTAAAATAATGTGATGGAGCCCCAACAGTTAATCTAAAAACATGTATGTGGAGAATGCTTTTATACTGCAACCGTGTATCTTGAACGGTGAAGTTTTGGTAATTCACTAATTCTTACCTCGCCAAGTCTCTTATCGTGTTCAGTTGGCCAGACCATGATTAGTAGGGGTATTAAAATATGTAACAATAACTTAAGAAATTATATAATAACAAAATTTTGTAATTCGTCAAAACTATTGCACCATCTGAAACAATTCTGTAAGAACGTTTGACAGACGACATTTTGTGTCATCTTCGTGTTATAGTTACGTAATGACGCGTAAAGGTTTTTTGTGTTTTTATCTACTATGAAAGAGGAGTTTTGATTTCCTATAAACAATAACAAAGACAAAATAAGGCACATTTTGTATTTATTTTGTCTTTGTTGTCTTACGTTATTAACTCGTCGAATACCGTCATTATAGACACCATTATAGAACAATAGGTTGCGGTCACCGGTGACCGCTTGGTGTTTGACAGTTTAATTGCTATTATTAGTCATAGACCAATCAAAATGAAAAAAATAATACACTATTTCACAAGAAAATTAAAAATACTGTAGATAAAACCCTACATTCGTAATCAGGTGAAACACCAAACAGTATAAATTGCACAAAATCATAACCAAGCCGTTATTTACGACGATTAGTCTTTGCAAATCCAAATCCCCTTAGCGAAATCGTGGATTAGTACGTTTACAAAGGCAGGTGGATCAGTACAATCACAATTGGGGGTAATCTGAATGATAAACAAGTACCAGAGGCCACAGCTGCTAACAACGACGACAAAAATAAATAAAGCTCAGGTAGATAAACAAAGTCGAGTTTTATTTGTGGTGTAACCATTAGGGGAAAAGATAAACGTGTCAACATAGGCAAGATGCCTTGTGCCGTTGAACGTTTCTAAAATCGTCTTACTGGGATTTATTAAGTTTCCATAATGTAGGATCACTCTTTACCATGGTGCGTGCATTTGTATACTGTATGTGGGACTAATTTATTGAGTATCATGTTTTTATATTCCTAACAATAGTTTAAATAACGTTTCTGTATACAGTGTGGTTTCAATCTGTAGATATGAAAACGTAGAGCAAGATACATTTCTCTCAGTAACTAAAAAGACAACTTTGAGAATTCCTTACAGTAAGAATGCACTAGCACAAAGATTTCCTTGTGGTTTACAATTCCTAATACTGCCGTCGATTTCTACGCGCCTGATGATATCACGGGCTCAAGAGAGTTTCAATCTATAAAATTTTCGTCCTTCTGATACATAAACCTTTTGTATTCAGACTCACACCGTCTCCCAAAGGCCCACATCAAGAGTCACAATGAAATTCACGAATCGTGATGCGAAAATATATTCAAGTCAAATATATTCCACTTTACGTTGAATTGGTGAATAGGTAGAGAAAATGCTTGCTTCATATTTTAAAGCATCGCAGCATTTTACATAGCAGTATTCATAAAATCACTATTGTTTGACCTAGTGGTTTTCATAGAAACCTCATGTTGCATTATTACATATTCTGATTTTGAATTTCTTAAACCTTGTTAACATTTAAAAGCATTGGAAAGCTTTACTTATAATGCAAATCAAAAAATTGAAATAGAAACAATTATATTTATTTTTAAATTTAATAAACAAGTACCACCTAAAAATAAATATTTATAATAACAATAAAATCGAAACTTACTAGTTTCGTAGCTCAATAGTAGACTTTGTCACTTTTATTTTTGTACTATTTTGTGTATTTTGATCACATTTTGCACGTTCACTTTTATCAACTTTTATATTTTTATTCTAATCACCTTCACTTTTATTAATTTCACTTTTATCACCACCTCGTAGTTCTTCATTTTCATTTTCATCTTCATTTTTGATTTCATCTTCGTTTTCTTCATCTTTTGCTTCTGTTTTATTAATGTCTTCAGGTTCTTCTTTCTCTTCATCGTCAGTTTTTTTTATCTGTTCACTATTCACATCACCATCTTCTTCATTTTTCTTAACCACTGATAAACGTACTTTGTTTTTTTTACGTTCACTGTGATCCCTAGTTTTCTTTTTCTTGTATGTATTTATGTCAAAATCATGATAAGATTCGGGGCACCTGCAAAATAAAAATGTTGTGTTTTTTATTTTTTTTTCGGTAGAATAGATAAATAGTAAACATTCGTTAATAAATGTTAAAAGAGTTTGCGAATTCTTACGTAGAAAAAAAGTTAATTATTACAAAATATAGTTAAAATTCGAAAAATAATTATACTTACACGATAGAGTTTTTCTTGCAAAGTGTGACATTCCAAACTCTAACGGTATCACAAAACGAGCTTCCTTCAGTCATTTTTTCCAGGGTGATGTAGTGGTCACCATACAAAATCCAGTGTTGTTCAACAGCGTACTCAAGTGCAAACCCGATTCGAGCTTGTACAGTTTCAAACCATGTTTTTTTGGATCCACCTATAAAAAATAGGTAATGTTAATGTTATAATAAATAACAGTGTCAAATGACTGCCTCGTTGGCCGAACGGGCGCAAGTGCGACTATCGGGCAAGGGGTCTCAGGTTCTTTATTTCTTTTCTTTCTTAAAAAAACGTTGCTCCACACTAGGAATTTCTCCTGTGTCGTGGGTGCGTATACAAACATACAAGTTCACATACAGATGACACCCAGACTCGAAACAACAATTTGTAGATCACACAAAGAGTTGCTCCGTGCGGGAATCGAACCCGCTACACGTTGCGCGGCAGCCGGTTGCCAAGCCACCGCGCCAATCGTGCAGACACCCGTTCGATACCCGAGATGGGCAAATATTACTGGGATTTAAAAAAAAAATCAGCAGTAGCACGGAGTCTGGAAATGTGCCCGGTATATGGCAATAGACTTACCCTTTTTACATGGGATTCATAAATTAAATGGTGAAAAGTGGGTGTTACACTGTACTGTGGCATTAAGTGCCGTAATGTGCACCTCTACCTTCCCCTTCGAGGATAAAAGGCGTGATGATATATGTTAAATACATAAATTAATTCCAATTATTATATTTTATAGCATATTTACTTTTCAAGATTTCTTTTGTCGATGGTAGACTTCAAAAGTAGCATTTTTACTAATGCTTGGTATCACCTAAAAGTTAAGGAATGCGGCCACCGTTGTGTTTATTATCATTCAGAAAAAATATACCTTTATAATAAAGAGGTACAACACTTCGGAAGGTTTTAAGTAGCTTTATAGTCGAGGTTTTTGTGCTAACTGCAATTATAGTGCTGTTCGGTCTCAGCCAGTTCAAGACGTAGGCAGTGCGTCCACTAACAGTAGGTACTATTATAAGACGAGCGTTCGTCTGGTTTGCGACTGTGGCGCAAGATATAGCACAAGCTTCGGCAGCGTTTACAGGCATTTTGATCTGAAACGATTGGTAATTATCTAGTTGATTATTTGAAAGCTAAAAATGTAGATATTTTTTAAAACATGCAAAATAAAGTCAGTGAATTTTTAACAAGGTCTAAGTTTTACCTGAGACACAAGTTCACAAAACTGTGTTTTGTCCATACAAAGAGGTTCCACACTGGCACACAGTTCGTTCAACATATTTATTGTTTCACACAAATAATATGTATTTGGTGTTTCACTTAGACAGAAACCACAAGCTCCTTCCAAGATGGCATTGGTCACATCAGATATATCTTGGGTGGTCATAGTTCCAGAATTGAGCGCTTCTTCAAATATTCCACCAGAAATGTAAAAAGGTTTACCAGCCTATAAAACGCAAGTACCGGTTTCAGAGTTGCAAAATAATAATTGTTACTTAAGTCAGATATTAATAACAGTCACAATAATACCTGGCGGCATTTTCCAGCGATAAGTCTTTGTATAGAACTCATACGTTTGTACAAAGCTGGTTCCACTTCATAAGCCAAAAACTCTCTTGAAAGTAAAATTCCATCGGCGTCCTATATAAAAGAACACTTTATAATTGTACACAAAACACCGCTAATTAGTTCGTAGCACACATCGACACTACTATCATTTACACAATATACATGTGTGGGTAATTTCATATTAATAGATATGTATAGAAACATTCGTCAATCACACACATCTTGGTATTTAAATATCAATTTTGTGTCGGTATACGTAATAATTTAGTAAATAAGTTTAAATAAAAACGAGGGTAAAGATAAAAATACTCATAACAAACTTTGAATAAATCGAAATCAAATAATGAACGATCAAGCTATACTAAATACCCATATAAATATAGTGTTTTCTCATCGTATTTTTATGTTACTGAATGATATACAATATTTCGATGATCTCATCTACAGCGCGCTTGGCGCAATGGTTATCGCCTCCAGTTGTCGTCAAGTAATGTGCCGCCGGATCGATTCCGGCATTCACATGTTGTATTAGTATTAATTTATCAAATATTTGAAATTTGAAACAATTAAATCTTTTCTTTTTTTTCTTATCCTATTTTTCTAAATCTTATGTTAATTTTAATAGTAAATACTTTAGATTTATTTATACCTATAATATCTTTTATTTATATTTAGTTCTAGCTATTTATTATTTAGAATAATCTCATTTGCTTCATGCATTTCAACCAACTTAAATAAGATAAAAAACAGTAAAAAAGTAATAACTATGCTTTCTTAATGGTTGGATACCTGAGTATATTTGTAATGTTTGTGGCGACCATGGAATTTTATTTTACCCGCTTATGAAGAAACTACCGACTATATAAAACAAGTTTTTCAAATCACCCGACTTACAAAATAATTGCGTTCTTAGTTGTCAAATGTATGAGGATTTCATAGTTTATTGCTACGCTACTCATATTCGAGTGCAAAGTTATTTTTATTTTTACAAGATGTTCCAACACCTATCAACATTTAAAAAGGCTGAAATCATTGTTTTGCATGAGCAAAACATACCAATAATTGAAATTGCAAGGCGTTTAATGATATCGGTGAGTAAATAATATACTACGTTGATATTCTATCTAGTTGATATTGTGTTTATAATTTATATCTAGTTGATATTGTGTTTATAATTTAAAGTTATTTATAGATATTAATTATATTTATTATTATTTTTAAGTAACTTTAATTCCTGTAAAGTATTTCCTGGTATTTTAAATACTTATTTGTTTGGTATCAACAGAGGAGATCCGTGCAGTTATGGGTGCACAGATATGCGGAGACCGGTGACGTTGAACATCGTCGACGTGGGCCTAAACCAAAGGCAAATTCATCGGCTCGGCACTACGACATCGTAGTCAGGCACAAGGCTGATCCGTTCCTGCCAACACACACTAAAGTGACAGCACTGAATGTTTCAATACAAACTGTACGGAGACACCTGCATTCTGCTGGTTTAAGGTGCAGAAAGCCAGCGAAGAAAATATTGTTATCTGTGGTGCACCAGCAAAAGCGATTAGAATTTGCTAGGGACTTTATTAATTTTGATTGGGCGAACAGTGTGGTTATATTTAGTGACGAAAACACTTTCAAGTCGGATAAGGATGGCGTAAAATATTGTGGAGAAAAGATGGAGAAAGGTATACGAATTGTAACCTTCTGCCTTGTAGGACCAGTGGCCGTATTACTGTCGGGTATTGGGGTTGGATGTCTTTTATGGGTCCCGGTGAGCTCGTGGAAATATCTGGTCTCAGTAACAGTCATGATTACTTGAATATTTTACAAAACGTAATGTAGCCTTTATTCAAATTAACTTATAATAATGTTTATATTTTTTAAGAATATTAAAATGCTGTCTAGAGCATACGGTGAAGTGATGTTATTGTTTTGTGGTTAGAAATTGTCATAATTTCTTTCTATTCAACATGTTGATTCACTTCACTTTAATTTTTCATTAACAAATTTATTTAACTGATTTCGAGCTTGATTGACATATTATATTTACGCACATCTTTAACTAATTTAAAGTTTCCCTGAATCTAAAGGTCATGAATGTTAAAATCGTTCCATAGCATTTGACACATTTTTTTTAGTAACATACAGCCTCTGAATATTGAACCTTATAACAACGGTCGTAAAATAGATAATTAATTGAAGATTCCAATGACAAAAAGTCGCCCATTTCAAGAAATAACATGTTAAAATTTCAGTGTATTTTTTTTTACATGTTTTACTTGTTTATTACTTAATGTTTTATTAAATTACAAAACAAAAATGTTGTATTTGTTTATTACATAATAAAAAATGTTGCTGCCATCGCATTACCGCATGATACTTCCCGATTCGACTACTTATGAGGTTTATTATCATATCTATTAATTATGATTTAAAGAACTTTAAACTTAACATGTGGTATATAATTAATTATTAGATACAAATATTGAATATAAAAGCACATATTTGTATAATAAATAAATTAATTGTAATAAAAATTGGTATTGTTTTATTTACCGACTCATTTGCTTCTTTTATAGCCTGATATAATATTACAAAAAACAAAAAAAAAA